GATGAAGGGCTGGGTGACCCTTCTTGGAGCCAGAACAGCAGTTTTTTCCTCCATTTTGGTTTCAAAACTTTTCCTCTAGGAACTAAGACATCACAGTGGATGATTGAAGCACACAAAGTGTTTTCTGAAGAGAAAGTATTTACAAACAACTTCCAACAAACCCCCCCTCCCCTTTTTTTTTTTCTCCTCTGCCAGCAGCAAATGCCTGAGGGCCCAAACAGCTTCACAAATGAAAATGAGGAAGAGACTAAAAGTTCTTCAAAAATGTAACATAATGATAAAAAATAGATCTGCTAGGGAGAGCACTCACAGGTGGCAGGGCACACAATCCACCCCTCGGGGCTGCTTTCTGCAGGGTGAAGCATTTCAGCCTGTGTTGGTCTCCAGATGGAGCTCCAGCCTCGAGTTCTGGGGTGGAGGAGACAAGGAGGATCCCCAGGGTTTGAGCAAAGAGGAGAGCAGGGCTGGTCCTGCAGCAGTACAGGGTTCCAAGAGCACAACCTGGGCACCCTCTGCCCCGTGGGAGGTCAGGCAAAAGTGACAAGTTTTGAGTAGATGAGTGTGGGGGATGATCCTTGGAACCAAGAGGCACTTCAACCAATTCTTAATGTACCAATTTACTGCAGACTATGAGAGAGGAATCCTGACTACCCACCCCAGCAAACTTCACATCAACAAAACAAGCACCCAAACCCCCCTCCCAGCTTTGGTACAGTCCAACAAAAGAGAGGGGGGCTTCCAGGGGTACCCCCAGAGCTGCTGCTTTTCACACTGATATCGTGTTATCCCTGATAATTCAAAGTAAGGCTGGATGGACTGATCCCCCCCCACCCCTGGCAGCACGTTTGGTCCAAGATACTTGTCATTGTTCTGCTCCCTCCCACCCTGACACTTCCACCAAGTTAACCCTACAAGATTGAAGCCAAAATGACAGCATCATAAATAACACAAGAGTTGACATAGTAACTCCAGACTTTGGGAATCAACTGTCCAAGGAATCAGAAAACCAAAGCTTTGGGATGTGCCGAATGGTGAGTTTTGCCAAAGGGGGAGGAAGGAAGAAGAAGCTTTAGAAGTTTATGCCTTCAGAACATCACTGAATCAGCAGATCAGTTTCACAACCACCACAGTTTGTAGATGGGCATCTCTGTCCCAAAATAAACAAGTGCTTTGTCTTCTCAACGTCCAAGGTAGTGACAAGAATGGATGAGTGGGACCTTGACTCTGACCAGCAGGGAAATTTAGGACAACTGAGTGCAGATACTGCCAATTTCTACCAGTTCAACTGTGCTTTAAGACTCACTGCAAAGCCTCAGATAGAAAAAGGATCCACCTTCAGGTATCCAACAACAACAGTTTTAATTTTTTTTTTTGTGTTAAACTTTTAAGACTAGGCAGCTCAGCTGTCAATCATTTCAGAAAGTTCCAGGAGGAGATCGTCCTCATCCTTCCCTGGGTCCAGGTCAATTTCTGCTTCCAGTTTGCCTCCTGAGATTTCCCAAATGAGCTTCTCAAAGTCATCTTCTACAGATAAAGGGGCTTTCCCAGCCCCCGTGGAGCTCAGCCGACGTGTCTTGGCTGCGACTGGTGAAGAAGCTGAAGTTGAGCTTGAGACCTCTGACTGTGCCACAGACTCTGCCTGGCTCCTGAGGTGCAGTTCAGGGCTTGGGAGAATAAGAAAGAGCAAATCAGTGGGTGACATTCCTGAACCAGAAAGGTATTCACTGCAAACCAGCACTTAAAGCTGTAGTTAATCCCTCCAACACCTCAGCCTTACAAAGGGACTGTTACTCCATTAACCTGGAGCTGCTTTTGGAAGCCAATGTATCAGCAGGTCCCATTTGGGGGATTTATCTATGAGGATCTGGGGTCTGGCAAGGAAAGTTCAATTTCTATAGCCAGAGACACTTTGCCACCTTTACTTATTTGCCTGTAAAAAGGTTAAGAAATCACCCTCTACAAGCACCCAGAAAACCCAAGAAGTCACTGAAAAGCTGCATCAACTCAAGGCGTTTTCAGAGAACAACCTAAACAAGAATTCCTGCTAGAAAATTATTTCAGATCAGTTGTTTGTGGAATTCTGGCATTATCTCAAAACTCTTATTTTTTCCCGTATGTGGAAAAAAAACCCCTGGTATTTCATGGGAAAGGCAGTGATTGAGATAAAGAACAAGTCGTGTGTTCACCTGCTTTTGCGTTTCCCTCTCCCAGGTGTGGAGACCTGGGTGTCCTCTGGCAAAGCAGGAACAACAGCCTGGGAAGAAGCAAGACAGTTTTTAGGGGAGACAGGTAAAAAACAGGTTCTTCCTCCACTGCTTCTCCTTGCTGAGCCTTAACCAAAACACAGAACCAGGGTGCTCCTAAGTTAGTTAAGTTTATTAATGACCTTGTGTCCTTTTTAAGAGCACAGCATTAATGGACAAAATCCTTGACACCAGAGAAACCACAGCAGTGTCAGGTAAATGCTGCCACCCACTTCAGAATAAGCTGACAGGTATTACCAACATCCTGCAGACCACCTCTGGATTTAAAAGGGAACAGAGACCCTTAGAACATTTCAGTTTTCCATCTTTGCTCCAAGAGGAGGGTAAAACTTGGGGATAAATTATACTAGGGACCCACGATTGGCTTCAGCCAGTGCTCACCACAGTTGCTTTTTTAGCTGAAGGCTCCTTGGTGTCCCCACCAGTGGCACTCAAGGGTTTCACAGCTGCCACAGCAGAGGGGTGACTCTCAGCTGCCTTCCTTTTCAGAGTCTGCTTTGTGGGGGAGGTGGTTTTCCCATCCAAAGGCTTCAGGCACACCTTAGATTTGGCTAGAGGAAAAGGAAGAGACAAGTGACACAGTCTTCCTCTGCCTCAGGAAAAAAAAAACCAACAACAATGGGTTCTCTTAACAGTCTCTTATAATCCTTCCAGTTAAATAAATTTGGCCAGCACAATGACCTTGCCACTTCCCAGTTCCTCAGCAGTACAAGCCACAAAAAGGAGCAAAGATAATCGTGGGATGGTTTGGGTGGGAAAGGACCTTAAAGATCATCCAGTTCCAACCCCCTGCATGGGCAGGGACACCTCCCACCAGACCAGGTTGCTTCAAGCCCCATCCAACCTGCCCTTCAACACTTCCAGGGATGGAGCAGCCACAGCTCCTCTGGTTCCAGTGTCTCACCACGTCACTCTCATAGTGAAGAATTTCTCCCTAATATCTCAACTAAATCTCCCCTCTTCCAGTTTTAATCTATTACCCCATGTCCTCTCACTACACGCCCTACTAAAAAGTCCCTCCCCAGCTTTCAAGTAACAAAAAGAAGCCAAGGTTACAGTGTAAAAATTGTCATCTGCTTTTCTTTCTAAACATGACATAAAGTAACTCTGTAACATCACAGCCAACACTTACTTCTAGCTTTCCTTTCTAGAGGTTGAGCTGCTTGTTTCCCGGGTGATCCAGCACCATCCTTCCCTGGGCTTTCAACCCGATCTTCCAAAGACTTCACCAACATCTTCTTTGCAGGTTGAGAAGCTGACCCTGAAACCACGCTGGGTTCAGGACTCCCTGATGTTGGAGCTTTATCCTTACTTGCTTTTTCACCAGGAGATGGCACAGCAGCTGCTTCTTTCTGAGTCTTCTCTTCCTGGCGTTGTTTCAGCTGCCTCTTCTCCTTCATTATCTCTTCAAGGCTCTTCACTTGAACTTTAGAGTTAGTTGCACTCTGATCTAAGGGCTAGAAAGACACAAAAGAGGAGGACTAATGGGACAAAAGAAATCTGTGGAGATTTCATTCAGGAAACCTGGGTGGCAATCTCTCCAAAATGGCTCCATGTGGAACAGAGCTTGTTAATACTGCCCAGATCAAACATTTCTTCCAGAAATGTTGCCTGTAACAAGATCCTCATCCAGTTCCAACCCCCTGCATGGGCAGGGACACCTCCCACCAGACCAGGTTGCTTCAAGCCCCATCCAACCTGCCCTTCAACACTTCCAGGGATGGAGCAGCCACAGCTCCTCTGGTTCCAGTGTCTCACCACGTCACTCTCATAGTGAAGAATTTCTCCCTAATATCTCAACTAAATCTCCCCTCTTCCAGTTTTAATCTATTACCCCATGTCCTCTCACTACACGCCCTACTAAAAAGTCCCTCCCCAGCTTTCAAGTAACAAAAAGAAGCCAAGGTTACAGTGTAAAAATTGTCATCTGCTTTTCTTTCTAAACATGACATAAAGTAACTCTGTAACATCACAGCCAACACTTACTTCTAGCTTTCCTTTCTAGAGGTTGAGCTGCTTGTTTCCCGGGTGATCCAGCACCATCCTTCCCTGGGCTTTCAACCCGATCTTCCAAAGACTTCACCAACATCTTCTTTGCAGGTTGAGAAGCTGACCCTGAAACCACGCTGGGTTCAGGACTCCCTGATGTTGGAGCTTTATCCTTACTTGCTTTTTCACCAGGAGATGGCACAGCAGCTGCTTCTTTCTGAGTCTTCTCTTCCTGGCGTTGTTTCAGCTGCCTCTTCTCCTTCATTATCTCTTCAAGGCTCTTCACTTGAACTTTAGAGTTAGTTGCACTCTGATCTAAGGGCTAGAAAGACACAAAAGAGGAGGACTAATGGGACAAAAGAAATCTGTGGAGATTTCATTCAGGAAACCTGGGTGGCAATCTCTCCAAAATGGCTCCATGTGGAACAGAGCTTGTTAATACTGCCCAGATCAAACATTTCTTCCAGAAATGTTGCCTGTAACAAGATCCGTGCTTTGCTGTGGAAATACTGTTTCAAAAGCCTGCAATTCCCAACACAGCAAGCTTCTTTAACAGAGCACAAGATTCTAGCTGTAATCTATTACATCCTTTTTAAGCAAGAGAAAGCCCTATGAGCTTTCCAACAGAGCATTCACTGACAGAATGAGTTTTTTGACAAAGCTTTAGTCTTTTCTATTAAAATACTCAGGATTTTAAGATAAGCCTGACAGATAAAGCCACTGAGAACAAAAACATCCCCTCCATATTAACCTCACAGATTTTATCTGGTGCTAAGAGGGTTTCTTATTCCTTGTCAGGTATAATCACATTAATTCAAAGCTTAAGGATTACAACATTGTCTGGAAATGCTATTGAAAGCGACAGGACTTGGCACTTGCCAAATAAAGCAGGACTAAATGTATCAGAAATGGTACATATATATATATATATAATCTTCACAAAGGACTCACCTCTGCAGGTACAGAGACAGCTTTGGGAGGCTTACTCAATTCCACTATCTTCTTTTCTTCTCTTCCAGGTGCTTTAAAAAAAAATAAAGAAACAAAAAGAAACAATTTTTGTCAAGAGCAGAAATAAAGAAATCTGGTTCCCAGTTTCCTTGGTGTGTTCATTTCCTCATGTCTAATAATGGAACAGGGGGAAAAAGGCTGCAGTAAGCAATCCTTGCAGCATTCAGCTCTCCTTGCCACAACCTCTTTTTACACGGTTTACAGAACCTGAACCAGGAGATGTTTAAAGCTCTGTCATTTTGGACAAAAACTGGCCCCTCACATTACCAAGCTGATGCACCCTCTGCAAACACACACAGATCCACAGCTAAGTTCAACAACACGTATGCCAAAGAGGAAGGTTAAACTTTGATTTAGCACAAGGAAGATCCCACACCACAAACTGATGGCAGAAAAAACAGAAGGGAGAAATTAGACTACAAAGTTCTGCAGTGAATGAATTTTCCAACGGGAAATACTCTGGTGTAATTCCTGGAAAAGAACATATTCTTTCTGGCACTTCAACTTTGCAGCCTTCAACTCTTAACCTCCAGCATACACAGAAGGAAAAAGCAAAGCAAATCCTGAGCAAACTGAATTTGCTTGCCAGGGAAAGCACTTCACCAGGGCAGGCACCAAATCATCCCCTTACCTGTGAGCTTTGTGATCCGTAACAACCTCCTCCCTGGCGGGGCAGGCTCAGGTTGTACTGCTGGAGCTGGCACATTTTCTCTGCTCTGCTGCATCCTCAGAGCTTTCTCTTGCTTGATTTCTTCCAAGGTTTTAATATGCACTTCTCCTGCTGCCCTGACTTTACCTGCTGGCTCTGACAGCTGCACTTTGCTGGGCACAGATGGAACACGTAGGGTCTGCTTCTTGGGCTCGCTCTCAACTTTTGTCTTGGTAGGAAACTCTTCTGTTTTTTGTTTCTCTTCTTCCAGTTGCTTCTGTTTTTTTTCAGCCAGAGCTCCTGAGACAGTTTTGATGCGAACTGCAGGGGAAGGTTTTGCCCCCAAGTTGGGGTCTTCTGCTTTACAACGTCCCTCAGCCTGGGCTTTAGCTGGAGGTTCTCCCTGTCTCTGAATTGCTCTCTCAAGACGAATTTCCTCCAGTGTTTTCACGTGGATCTCTCCTGCTGGCTTAGCAGCCTTCTCTGCCATCAACAACAAAAGAAAGCAGCAACATTTAAAGAGTGTCCAACAATATTTAAAGCTTCCAAAATCCCTCACAGTACTAAGGAAAACTTGTTCTGTTTCTAAGAATGCATCCGAGGAGTGTACCATTCTGCATGTTCTCCTCCTCCTTCCAGCCACTTCTATTTGGAAGCCCAGTGCTACCCAGAGAGAGCTGCTGCACAAAAAGATCAAATCTGATCTTTGTGATCAAATTTTGATCTATTTGGTTTCGTTGCTTTCCCAGACTGTCTCCCTCTGTCAGCATCTCCAACCCCTGCTCCTGGCAGCTGTTCTGTTCTATTTGTGCAGGAGCACACTGCAGCTTCTGGCAGGTCCCAGCAGGAGCATGAAACCTTGATGAGGTACAAGTGGAAAACACACACACCTAGAGGCAGATCTCTGACAAGGGCCATCAGGACAGCTTCAGCAGCCAAGCACAGGGAATCAGGTTTGGGTTTTTTTTCCCCAAAATTAATTTTTTGGCTTTATTTTCACCATGAGGGTAACATGGTGCTGGAATAGGCTGCCCAAGCAGGTTGTGGCTGCTCCATCCCTGGAAGTGTTGAAGGGCAGACTGGATGGGGCTTGGAGCAACCTGGTCTGGTGGGAGGCGTCCCTGCTCATAGCAGGGAGACTGGAACCTGATGATCTTTCAGATCCCTACCTCTGATTCCCTATGAAAGTCCACACAAGAAATAAGAGGAAGGCCTATCTATTATCCAGTTATTACCTGTCTCTGTGCTGGTCTGTTCAGAGGGCAACCCCAGCCTTTCCTTCAGAGACCTGGGGATTTGAACTGCAAGACAGAACAGGAACATGGAGGGAGACTCCATCAATCTCAATTGTGTTCACATTTTGACACAAGCCAGGAGATGGTTTCACTGGGACTCAAAGCTACCTTGAGCCCTCAATCAACAGGCAGAAAGAACCAGGTGAGCAAAGGACAAACAGAAAACCTGAACAGAACACCTGTGCACCTAATCCAGGTGTCTGCTCAGGAGCTGTACCTCTCTTGGGTGCCTTGTCAGCGTTCTCCAGGATCTCCATCTTCTTCCCCAGCCTTTCAGCGAGGTTGCGCCTCAGAGGAAGGACACTTTTACCAGCTTCAGGACAAGAGAAAACAAGAAAGTCTTTCAGAATATTTCTTGGAGGAGAATTTTAAAAGAGTCAGTCACAAACTTCA